GACGAGGCAGAGGGATGCCGGCGGGCCCCGGCGGCTCCCTTCATCTCCCTCCCGCAGGGCATGCCTCAGCCCGCCCTGTCCCTGGTGTGGGAAAGGGGGGGCTGCGCCGCCCTGAGGGCCCGACGAGAGCGGGCGGGGGCTGGTGCTGAACCTGCGGCAGAAATGGCGGGAGCGCCCTGTAGCCCACACGGAGGGACGGGGAGCCAGGCTCGGGTGGAGGAGCGGCTGCATGGAGAGCTAACCTGCGGTACAAACACGGTGAGCCAGCCAGAAGGGAACGCAATACCCCAGCCTGGCTCATCCTGAACGGTTTTCCCGTCTGCAAGCAGTGTCGCAGGCGTGAAGTCCGCCCGGATGATTTTGGGCGAGCTCCCAGGCCGGGCAGGCTTCAGAGCTCCAGCTTCACTGCTCTCACAACTACCCCCATTTAACAGCGCCGAAAGACACTGTGTCTGCCTGAAAGGATCTCTCATAGCCTGCAAAACCACGCCGTTATGCAAAGCTAGCCTCTGCCAGCCCCGAATGAGGCCGTTCCTGGCTATTCGGTCAAATTTGGGTTTGACGTTGTCTAGTACATTCTCCTTCGTGCAGGGAGCTTTACACCAAATACGTTTCTCATGTTAGGCAACTTAGCAGTTGATATTTCAGTCAGGAAAACAGCTGTTTTTCAGATGATGGAGAGTTAGTGATTGGTATGGTTGTGTTAGTTGGCTTTGTCTCTACATCTATGTTGAATACTCAAAGGTTTTCTTTCAAATGCCGTCTTTGCTGCAGTCTCCCTTGGCTTTGTCAGTCCATGTTATCACTGCTGCAACTGTGTCTACCTGGAGCTAAATACTACCTCAAACTACATACCTAGAGCTAAACAATATCCCAAGCTAAATATTTGGGAGTCAGCCAAGAAGCATCGCGAACCATGGAGATTTCCAACATCGTTGCAGCGAACTTGCTCAAATGCTCCTTGTACCCATCAGCACTGGAAAGTAGCATGGAAATAAATCTGCAGCTTTGGGAGGCTGTAAACCCTTTGTATTGGTGAGGTACAGGGAGAAGGTTGAGAAGCTGCAATATAGAGAGCCTAAGAGTAATTTGGTTGTATTTATGTCCCCAAACCAGCTGGAAGATAAAGGTTCCCCTTCTAGCTTACCTATATAGCTAGGCTAATAAATAAATAAATACAGGCTTTGTTTAGGGTAACTACAATGATTTCTTTAAACTTGTTTAGTAAATTTTTCTTGCTCTGAGGTTAATCAGAAGTAGACATCCCCCCTTTGAAAGAAAGGTAGGACAAGATCTTTCACTTAGGAATCTGCCTCTGAGAAGATTTATATAGAGATGTATATAGTATCTTTACATGGAGAAGATATGTCAGATTGAAACTCACTAAACCTTAGCACCTTATACGATATCATAAGAGGCACTCCTCTTACCATCTTTAAAGATACAAAGATGTGGTCATCAAAGTGTCCTTCAAAAAATGTAGTTCCTCATATCTTCCTTAGGCAGAATTCAGTTAAGAAAATACTAGGAGGTGATTTAGGTACAATGGTATGGAAAATTACATCTTTTCACTTTCAAAAGAGAACTCTGAAACAAAAGAAAATACAATCTTGTACTCTGTCATCAATCAAATGGATAATGTCACATTTGTTGCAAGGACAGGCATGTAAAATTGACACCTGTTGCAATATTAATTCAGAAAGCTTAGGCATTAATCCTTTTGAAATGGTTCCTACCTCATCTTCCTAGAGAGAAACATTTGTGAGCTCATTAAATTCTAATTGGAGCAGCTAATTTTCTGTCTGTATAAGCAGACAGCTTTAGTGGGCTCGTTTATTGAAGGCTCAGAGAGACTTTTAATAAACTTCATATATACAAGGAATGCTTATTGGAGCCATTTATGGAGGTGAGGGACATGATTCATATTACAAAAAAA